ATTTTAATGGCTTATCTGAATACAGTTTAAAAGGATTATAATAGTATTTTGTACGTTCAAATGTAGAGGTCTGAAATAAATCAAATGATTTGGAAACATATGAGCCTAAATATGTTTTAAAAAAGCCTATGCTTTAGATAAACTGTCCTGGTATAATTTCTGTAAAATGCAACAAATGAAAAAAGCTGCTAAATAAATCCGGTGTACAAAGCAGTAAAACCTCAGTTAATTTAGTGTTTAAATGCTGCTTGTATTTTAGCTTTAGTGCTTTAGTAATAACAGTCCTACAGTTCATGAGAAACATAAACATGTCCATTAAATTGTTAAAGTGATTTTAGTACTTTGCTGTTATTTAATGGTCTGAGAATGTACGTTCTCCTGTTGTATTTTCATATTGAGGTGTAGGGACTTGAGTCTTGCGTGTGTGCGCTTGTTTATTTTTGTTTCTTATCCCAGAACGTTGTTAAATTGTTATATTTTAACGATATTCACAAACCAATTCTTCTGTAGTTTCTGTGCCTTTTCCATCTAATAAATTTTTAGTTTGAAAATTGCTAAGAACAGGGGAAGTAAGTGTCATTAATGTAATGATTGTGTCTGTCCCTTCTTTGAAGATGTACCTGGTGGGGCTTACAGGAGGCATTTCCTCAGGAAAAAGCACTGTGTCTTCAATGCTGCGGGAGCTCGGCTGCCCCATTATTGACGCTGATGTCGTGGCCAGAAAAGGTCAGTTGATATATACCTCACTATAAACCCACAGTGACTGCAAAGTGAATGTTTTGCCCAGGAGTGTCTCTCGCTAGAAGCCATCTTTAGGAATATTTCTCACAAATAAGCCAGGTTCTTTAAGACAAATGCTTGGAGAAGAGTGTATGAATCATGAAGGATGTCTCTGCTGACTGATGTCAGTTCAGATAAAAAGGTCACAAAAGTGGGTTTGGAGCGCATAGCTACACATGGAAAATAAAACGTGGTATGCAAATGTATAATTACACTGATGTGATGAGTCACAATAAAAATAAATATCTTTCCTGTTACGTCTCATAAGCTGCTGCTTCTTTTTGAACACGACTTGATTCTACAATAACTGTAATCATCCTGTTGTTATTTTTTTATTCATTTATGTTGTTAGTCTTGTAATAACGTGCTAAAAGTCCAGAATTTGTTTCCGTATTAGTCGTGGAGCCGTACACTCCTGCCTATTCTCGCATCGTCTACCAATTCGGGCCAGAGGTTCTGCTGGAGAACGGGGAGATCGACAGGCAGAAGCTGGGCCAAATCATTTTTGCCAACGAGGAGAAGAGGAGGCTGCTGAACTCCATCACCCACCCAGAGATTCACAAAGCAATGCTCAAAGAGATCCTCTTGTACTTCCTCAAAGGTGAGACTGGAAAGGACTTGAGCCTCGATTGTGGTTTAAAAAAACAACAATAATATGACTAGGATGTTCAGTGTAAGATGAGAAAGGCTATAGAACCCATTCTCTTGTGAGGTAAAATTTAAAAAAATATTAATCTCAACAAAATTATCATTAAAGACAAACATTGTTGACTTCTGCCCTTTGATTTAATCCAAACAAAGAAGCATTCTAATGCACCATTTTTTTTAATTATGTGCAACTTAACTTTGTTATTGGATTTTGTGCAGAGTGTAAGTGTGCTGATAATTATTTCTGATCCATCCTGACACCCTAGGGTACCGCTATGTGGTCTTGGATGTGCCCCTCCTCTTTGAAACTAGACGGCTCACCAAGTTTCTGACCCACACTGTGGTGGTTTACTGGTAAGACCACTTTTAAGTCAATATTCTTCATCAACAGTGTTTCATTTTTCATTATTTCTTTTATATTTTATTGTTGGATGTAACTGGGACCCTGCGTACATATTAGTTCCACCACATGGGGTGCGAATGACAAATAAAGAACCTTGTATCCTTGAATCTTTTTCATGGTGTGCTTGCAGCTTGTATTTGTTTTTGACACAAACAAGCCATTAAGATCAGTTTTGCGAGCTGCTGGTACCCTTCTCCAACTCTCTCTTTGTCTCTTTAGGATGACTCACTGCTTCCTGGTCGTAACGCGACTTAACTTTCCATCGTCCGTTTCTTTTTCAGCGACCCTGCAACTCAGCTGCAGCGCCTGATGCAGAGGGACGGCCTGACCCAGGAGCAGGCCGAGCAGCGCATGGCCGCTCAGATGCCGCTCAACGAAAAGCGCGGGCTGGCCAATCACGTCATCGAGAACTCGGGCAGCCGGGAGGACACCCACCGGCAGGTCCTGAGGCTGCACACAAAGCTGGAGGACTCCATGGACTTCCTTTTAGTGAGGGTCATCGCCATCGCTGCCACTGCTGGTCTGGGCGGGTTACTGCTCTACGCAGCCAAGGTCCTCTTGTCCTAACAGCCGTCGGAACAAGGGTTCAGTGTAATGTGCTAAAATGGGAAACTGAGTAGAGTCTGGCACAAGGCAGGTCGAAGGTACTGATGCAATTTACTGTGAAATTACCTTCACAGCACCTAGCACTACAGCGCGGCAGCGTGGCGCTTTATGTTGACGGTTAACTCACTGACAAATGCAGTTTAGTGTGAAGGGTTTTATGTGCAATTTTCTCCCCTTTTCCCTCAAAGACGAAACGATGAAGGCAAACGTTGCTGAACAAGCTTAGTTCTAAAAGTAATTCTTTAAAAAAAAAGACCGTGAAATGTGACTTAATCTTTATTTAATACAACTCAAGCAACGATAACAGTCAAGACTTATCACTGAAAGTTTCACATTACACTTCTTCAAACATGTTTAATCACCTACACAGATGCAGAAACTCCCTTTTGTTAAATTTGTGCTAATTTATTTCACACTTTAACTAAATTTGAGCGTTTTAAGATCAAATGGAACACCTAACAAGGTCGTATACATGAATATGTATTATAATGTGGAGACCTATAACCGAATGTGTTAGACAATCCATTTTTACTGGGAGCAGTAGGAATAACAGATTTCATATCGATCGCTGTATTTTCTTACATTCATGACGGCGTCTGTAAAATGTCTATAATTTTTGTTTTTCTTTGCACACTTGTAACTAAAACGATATGTTTAACTTAAATATAGACCACATCACTGTTTTAAAGTAGCAACAGTTTAATGATGTCAATACGTGTTTTATTTTGACAATGCTTTTAATTTGTGATTTTGGCCCTGTTTTAATGTTTCCTTTGTGTTGTGAAAAAGGAAAGTTTCTTTTTGCTGAATTTAAAGTAAAAAATTTACAGAAAAAAATCATCAACAATTTGCATGCTTTAAAAATAAACATTTCATTTAGGGTTTTATCTCAAAATGACTTTCTAACTTAACAAAAGCAGAAGTTATAAGAAGAAATTATTATTTCTCCACCTAACTTTATTTCTTCGACACTTGATTGTGTTGACGTGTGAAAAATAATTTAGTGTTTGATTTATTTTATATACTTTGTCCGGTGGAGAGTTTAACTTAAACTAGAGAAATTACATTTCCTGCGAAAATGCAGTGTGACTGCTAATTGCAGAAGAACTTGCTTAAAAAAAGCTAAAATTAGCTTTAAAAACATGCTGAAATGGAAGAACAAGCCTAAATTAGCAGAAGAATGCAGAAAGAACACATATTTGCTGAATTAGATTTAAATAAGCAGAAATGAGCACAAAAATTTGGAAATTACCTGACAATGCTCAACTTAGAAAAAAATAGCTAAAAAGTAGCTGAAAGGCAGAAAGAAGCTTAAACTACCAGAAGTGGGAAGCGCTGAAATGAGCTCAAAAATATGGAATTAGCTGAAAAAGCTTAAATTTGCATAAAACAGCTAAATAGTAGCTGAAATAGCAGAAAAAGATTAAACTAGCATAATTAAGCTGAAATGACCATAACAAGCTGAAATAAGTTAATTAGGCTGAAAGCAGAAATTACCACAAAAAACTTGAATTTATCTGAAATTAGCTAGAAAATGCTAAAAAGTTAGCTGAACAGGTAGAACAAGCTTAAATGAGCAGAATAAAGACAAAAGAAAATGTTTGCTCAATAAGGCTGAAAGAAGCAGAAATTAGCACATAAAAGTGGAAATTATCTGAAAAAGCTGAAATGGGCAATAAAAACTAAAAAGAGCTGAAAAGTAGCTAAAAAGCAGAAAGAAGCCTAAATTACCAGAAAGTGGAGAGAGCACATTGTTGCTGAATTAGGCAGAGATATGTTGAAATGAGTGCAAAACGTGGAATTAGCTGGAAAAGTTAAAATTAGCATAAAAACAGCTAAATAGTAGCTAAAATAACGGAAAAAGCTGAAACTTGCAGAAATAAGCTGAAAGGACCATAACAAGCTGAAATTAGCAGAAAGAAATTAGAAGCACAGACATTTTTGTAGTTAGAAAGAATCTGAAAGGAACACTAAACATCTGAAATTAGCTGGAAAAAAATGTTTTAATGTGCACAAGGAAGCTGAACCAGAACAAAATGTGAAAGGAGCAGTGAAAGGTTGTAAATGCATGTAAAATGAGCTCAATTCATTTTCTATGAGAAAAAAAGTGGCAGAAAAGGCTAAATATTTCAAAAAGCTAAAGTTGCACCAATACCAAAGTCATCGCACACTTCTGAACGAGCTGAACGATTTGATATGTTTTGTTGAAATAGCACAAAAAGTGAGGAACGAGAAAGATGCTGATAAACGTACGGAATAAAAATGGATCACAAGTGTGTGAATGCTTCTACTCAAAATAAAAACTAAACCTAAATATAAAATATTTGAGCTGCATTTGAACTCTTAAATTTAAAAGAATAGCGTTCCCTTTGTTAAATGAACACATTATTTTGACATTTGTACCCTCTAGTGTTATAGATTAGACTTTCCAATGATTTGGGGAAACATTTTCATTATGTAGTCAAATATCCTCACCATTTATACGTCAGTATTTGGCGAGGGAAAACATTAAATGTAATTTTAAAAGTTTACATAAAACTGGTGAGAATAAAAGGTTGACACGCTGATTTGTGGAAGACTAATTCTAAAATAGTCTCTAATTAATGCCAACCTTTGGAGCCACAAAAAGAAAAATCAGTTGACTAACGATGATAAAACACAAAGCGTATCATCTTCAAGTCAGTTTTGCTTCTCTAGGGATAAGGATTTCTTCAATAATTAGATCCTACAGGAAAATGTCCGAGTGGCCGGTCTTCAGGAAAAGAAATAATGAATTTAGTGTGCGCTTATGAATGACGTCCTTAGACGCTAAAATTCAGGCCCACGGGCAGGTGTGGTTACATCATCCTGGCGCCGAGGACCCACCAAGTCGATGTGGCTCCATACATATTGGTCTGCTCTTTGTTTTTATCAAGACACTGCAGCATTAATGCAAAGTGACTTGGGCTGAGGGGTGCGGGGGCAGTCAACCGAAGGCTGTACGAAAACACACTTCGACACGTGTAATTAACAAAACGGCATGTAAATTGCACAAATATCTGGCAACGTAATTCTGGGGTTTTCTGTCGGGTAGACGACTAGTCCGTTTACGTTTCGATCCAATCATTTCAACACTTGGATCTTCAGCTTTACTTTCCTCAGACAAAGGCCGGATGCAGAAAGCGTGCAGAAGAGTCTATATCTGTACCGGCAAGTGTGACGACTCCAGGCGAAGAACGGCGGTGCAAGTCTTCAACGGAATATAAAGTGGCTTTCAATCTGAGGCGCTAAAAGTCTGAAGTTGGGTTGACTCACTTTGTAAAAGTGCACCTGCTGCTTTACTGTCTGTAATGGGCCCTTTCCAGGAACACACCCCATCATTTTCTATTGGCAGGGGGTGAAGTCTTGTATAATCTCACCATCTTGTTCAAAGAGTTGGCCTGTGGCAACACAGAGTGTCAACATTTTGGAATCTCTTGTCTGAATGGTTTTTCATCATTTCATGCTTACGTTACTGCCATGAGGGAAGGTAAAACAGCATGTGCAAGGGCAACAAACACCCCAGCTTAGATAAACAACTTTAAATTAAAAAATGTGATAAACAAATGAAGTACTTTGAGCCTGAATTCTGAAGTTTTCCTGCTTCACACCACTAACAACGCAGTGAATTGAGACTTGGTACCTTTACAGCTCATTAAGACAATGCTTCATTTCTCTCAGGATGCTTAAATAAAATGGACAAACTTGCTGGTACCCTTAAAGAGATTAGTAATCTTTGCATTATAGACATGTTTCAAACTAAACTTTCAACTTTTATTAGTATCACAGAGACCTTTAGACTTTTCGTCAACCATTCAGCCTATTTAAAGGGAACAAACAGGCTGTTGGATTGTTGCGGTCGATGGGTGCACCACACCGAACATGGAGCAGAGAAAGCAAAGGCAAGAGCTAGGAGCTAGTTCTGTAGTACTCGAGACTGGTCTTGGTCTTGAGAGCGGTCTCGACCACTTTTTAATGGTCTTATCTCGTCTCGGACTCAACCGCATTTGGTCTTGGTCTTGTCTCAGTCTCGGACATCGAGAACTCAGGATTTTATTTCAAGACCAGTCAAGACCACAACTGTGGAAATACCACTAAATTGCCAGAATATTATCCAGTTTATTTAACATCGTTTTTATTGGATGCAAAACGCATTGCTTCAAATCCAAGGGATAACTTGGCTCATTGCTAAATGCATGTTTTTGTTACTGCTGTCTCGCCCATCCCCTTTCACTCGCACCGGTTCTGTACCAACAGAACAATACGAACAGAATGCAACATCGCAACCAGGGGTGAAAGTAAGCCGGCATGGTCCAGTATTGCGTACCGCTAAAAGATTCTTGGCCAGTACGCAGGACCTGGAAGAGAGGGGCTGTCTGCTGTAAAGCCTCATTCAGAACCAGTCACGGCTGCACTTTGGGTCAGGATAGATTCTCTAGCAATAATCAGTCTAAAACATGACAATCAGTTAATAAACAGTTTTGTTTCCTTATTTCAAATAGTTTCTGAACTGTTCGATCTATGCTGGAGCCTCAGTTCTCTACTGCAATGAAGTTAGTTTGACGTTGGACGTTGGACATTCGAGCTCCGTGGCTTCAGCGGTGTGTTCGTCTCGTTCGATCTGAAGCAGGCAGTCTGATTTCAGTCAGCTGAGCTCAGTCTGTCCCTCCTCCAAAACACAATGGTTCACTTACCGTCAACAAATTACCGAACCAAACACTCTTCAGAAACAAAAAAATTAATATATTTTGCATCATTGGACCCATTGACAAAACTAATGTTAAACTACTCTCATAGACCTGACACACAAGACACCATCATTTATTTCTCATTTTAAAGCATTTTTTAATTAGTTATTGAGCGAAAACCATGATTTTTGAACTAATAAATGACGTAAAATTAGAAAATGCTTTAAAATGAGAAATAAATAGTGGTGCCTCATCTGTCAGGTCTAGTAGAGAAGTTTAACATAAGTTTTGTGTCAGTGGGACACATGACATGAAAATTATTGCGCAAAAACCATTGAACGTCTGATTTCTTTATGTAGCTTTGAAAATTTATAAAAGCTGATACATTCCTTCAAAAACAAACTTAAAGGTGCAGTATGTAGATTTTATTAAAAAAATTTTTTTATAAAAGTTATATGTTTTTTTCATATTTGTTCAAACTGTCACTATGTCGTGACAGTTTAGTATAAGACAAATAATCTGTGAGAAGATTGAGCTCCAAGACTTGAGGCCTTGGTCTCGCACTCCTTCGGTCTTGGTCTTGACTTGGTCTCGGACCCCAAAAGTCTTGGTCTTGTCTTGGTCTCGGTACACTCTGGTCTTGGTCTTGACTTGGTCTCGGGTT